CTCCTCTCTCTCTCTCTCTCTCTCTCTCTCTCTCTCTCTCTCTCTCTCTTCCTTCTCTCATCACAAGTTACAAGAAAAAACCATCAAAGGAAAAGGTCTCTAAACCGCCTCCTAGGTCTCCCCTCATCAAGTAAAGAAAAAAAAAAAAAAAAAACGAATTGTTCTACTCTTAGACAGAAAATATCCTGCGGCGTAACAGCATATCCAAAGGAAGATTCGTTCTCGAAATAGTGTACACTCTTTCCGCGTTCAACCCGTCGTCCTTGAATTTTTCACCCATTAATTCTTCCGTAAGGGTGGAGTCCCACGATACTTTCTCGGCCTCGTGAATCGGTATACATCATAAGAGAACAGCTTCTTTTTTTCCTTCCTTCCCTTCTCTTTTCCCCGTTTCTCATATCTTGGGGTGATCTATTTTTAGGACTGTGGCACAACTCCTCGAGGTCATGCGAGGGGAATACCATGTTTAAGACTTTAGGGTGTTTCAAATGTACGTGTAAATGACCGACGCCAGCGCGTGCATATGGAGCGTGTGTGTGTGGAAATGAGAAACTTTTCGAGATGTTGAATATTCGAGCTTGCATCGTCTCTCCTAACCCAGACCTTCCCTTCCCCTCCGACTTGCTTCTTTTCGAGTTCTTGGCATTGTTGCATTTATATGTGAGATATCTCTCTCTCTCTCTCATTCATTTACTTCTTTATAGGATAATCTGCTTCGTCGCAGTGGTTCTCATCTAAACGTTATCGATCGAGTTATTTGGAAGAGGAGAGGTGGTCGATTTATAAAAGGCGAAAAAAAAAATATATATATATAGTGAAAAAAGTGAAATGAAAAGGAATAATAAAGTTGATGCACATTTAACATTTTGATTACTTATTTTCAGGTGGGCGACCGAGTGGTCGCGCTTCCTGATCACAAGGCGTGGGCAGAGCTTGTCGCTGTACCAGCCACGTCCGTTTTCGCGCTACCAGCCGGAATGAGCTACCTCGATGCAGCGGCGATCACGATGAACTATACTGTTGCTTACATTCTGTTGTTCGAACTGGCCAATTTAACGCCCGGAAAGAATCTGTTACTCCACAGCGCCGGCGGTGGTGTGGTAAGTATTATTCTGAGATGTTGCGATCAAGAAAAGATCACAAATTATTCGCGAAGCGAAAAATATCCATCGAAGGAAGTGTAAAAGAGAAGAAAATCAAGGAAAGGAAGGTGGTAAAATTACGCTAGGTGGGAAATATAAGATAATCGAATTTTCTGCTTCTAAAATAAAACTTTAATCGAGTTATCTTTTGAATTTAAATATTCGTATAGGGTTATTTCCAGTGGGAGGTAAAAATACGTTTTACACTTTTTCATTATAAAACGCTTTCAATGTTAACGAGACATCGTTTTCTGATATTACTTTTGTTGGAACGTAAATTTTATTAGGATTTCCCCGATAAAATATACGTACATCTAATCTAACCTAATCAAAAATATCAATCGTTTCGAATTCTTATTAATTATAAGTTGAAAATATTATATCTCGTGAAATAACATCCCTTTCCCTAAAATAAAAATTCCAAAAATTCATTAGCCATCGTTATTTTTCGAAAGAAAATTGCAAGTCGAAATATGCGATTATGATTCAAGAAAAGAGATAGAAAAAAAGATAGAAAGAAATCGCGACAACGTGGTGCAAGGTTACTGCCCCTTTTGCGAAGTCGGCTCGAGTCGCATCACAACGCTTTCTCTCTCAATGTCGTCGAAGGAGAAGGCGGGAGCCAGTCGACTACGTCGGGATCAATACGGCTCAACAGGTTACACTCGAAGCTAACTACATCGCCTCGCGACTCTCCCCCACTTCTCCGAGCCTCACCCTCCTCCACTCCCTACTCATCCCCTCTCCCGCTCCTCCTCCATCCCACTCAGCCGCTGGTTTGTACACGTCGCGTAGCATCGTTGGAAGTTGAGACGACGAAATCTACGGGGGATGCTGCCACCGCCGCTGGTGCACAAAACGACGGGGGTGTGAGGGTTGCCAAGCAACCCTTCGTTCTCTCATCGACCACCGTGACGGGCCGCGCCCGTCTGAGACCATACCACCACCATCACTACTACCACCACCACCACCACCACCACTATTTTCCACTACCATCGTAGTATCGCGTGTTAGCACGTGTTCGTTACGTTGCTCTTAAGCCCCGTTCGCATTAACCAATAGTGTAGCGAGTTCGATTTTCGGTTGCTAGTTGTATAATTTATTCAGGTTGGATATTTGGGAATTTTTACCGAAAAGTTAAAAAAGTTAAAATTTATACGACGTTACGAAGAAATCTTTTTAATTTTTTTTTTATTTTATACGGAAAATAGAATGAATGAAAAAAAAATTTTAATTATTAAAATTTAAACTTACGAGCGCGTGCCTAGTAATTTATTCAAGCATATTAGGATTGAAAAAGAATCTAGATAATAGAAATCGTGAAGAAAATTGGAATGAACGCTTGATTTGAAAAAATTTCAAATTTCTTGATCATATTGATCATTTTCAATTTTTCTTGTTCAATAAAAAAAGAAAAGAATTATAAATTTTCTATTTAATCAAATTAATTTAATTGAATAGTTACAATAGCTTCAAAATAAAAAAGAAATATATTAAGACATTTTCTAATTAGTCGAATCCTTGAAATAAAAATTTAAGAATAAAAAATTATTAAAATTTAAACGCAAGAAGTTATCATACGTATTTAAAAATATCGAGAATCAAAATTTTTCTTAACAAAATAAATAAATGAAATATGTTATATTATTATAAATTATGAATAATACACATATAATGAAAAGTAAGAATCGTTTTCAATCGGTTAGCAATGTGTTATGACGTACAATTTAGAGCGGCTTTTTAACATTCTAGCCCTCGTCCACACTCTTCCTTTTTTCACTACTTTTTTACTTCGATCTTTTTTCGTTTTCTTAAATTCTTGTTACTCTTCCCTTCAAGCTTGTCGCTCTGTCTCTATCCCTCTTCCGAGTTACTCAAGGCTCGGGGATTGGTCAACGTTATTGGGTATCGAATTCTCGACAACGGACAGAGTGGCGAGCCAGAGAGAAAAGAAAGGAGAGCTCTCTCGATTCTCGGAAATAATGAATGCTGCTTCTGTTGAGAAAATCTCCAAGATCTCCGTTTCACAATTTTTTCTTCTCCATCTTGTGTCCTGTTCTGGTTGTTCTTTTGCGATCGTGCGATGAAAAGACTTCGGAACGTGCTTTTTCCTTGCCTGCATAGGAATAGGATTACGAGTTTGGTGAACATGATAGGCGAGTAACTAAAAATAATATAACTATGATTCTTGGCACTTTCTAAAATTTAAAAGATAAAAATCGATATATATCTTATATGCGAAAGATATTCTCCTACAATAGAATTCAAAAAAATTCATTTAATGGTGTTATTAGAAGGTGGAAAGCGTCTTATTAAAACTTTTTAACAGATTGATTCATACAAAAGATTCTGATCAACATTCTATTCGAATTAATAAGGTGGTATTCGAAAGTGTGTATTTGAAAGTATCTTATCATCTAGTTTCTACGTATTTATTTTTAAATTATTTTTCATGTATTCTATTTATTAATATACTATTATCTAATCGATTAATTTTTCTTTTTTTAGGGTCAGGCAGTCGTCCAATTGGCCAAAACTGTGAAGGATGTAACCATTTTTGGTGTGTGCAGCAAATCGAAGCACGAAGCATTGAAAGCAACTGGCACCATTGATCACATCTTGGAACGAGGCGCGGACTATAGCAACGAAGTCAGAAAGTGTGTAACAAATTTTACAAATTATATATTTTCATGTAATTCATATTGTTACCAAATTTTCAGAATTCACGTACATTCTTACAATTATACGGCTATACAATATTCGTTCGATCCATATTTCATTGGTTCACACACATGCAGTTTATACATTGAAACAAAATAATATGTTCTATACATGTATACGTATTATAAAATTCATTTCTCTTATTTTCCACAGAATCTCACCAGAGGGTGTGGACATCGTCTTGGATTGCCTTTGTGGTGAAGAATGCAACAAAGGATATGCTTTGTTAAAACCTATGGGAAAATATATTCTTTATGGATCTAGTAATGTTGTCACCGGCGAAACTAAGAGCTTCTTCTCGGCAGCACGATCAGTACGTCAGCGAAATAACCCAACATTTTTTAATTTAAATGATTTTTAATCTTTAAATGATTATATTTTTTTCTCGTTTTTGTACATACAAGAAATAATTTCATCTTATAAAATTAATGATTAGATTTTATATTATGTTAAATATTGCTAATTTATAAATTAAAAAAAATTAATATTTTTTCTTGAATGTAAAAGTTTATAATGCATAAAACTGTCAATATAGTTTAACAACGTTTTATAAAACTATTTGTATATGCACATAATTAATATTTTGATATATTTATCGTATTATAGTGGTGGCAAGTGGACAAAGTATCTCCCATTAAATTGTTCGACGAGAATAAAACTTTATCTGGATTGAATTTGCGTCACTTGATGTATCAGCATGGAAGTCATGCATTTGTGAGACGAGCAGTGGAACGGGTATTCGCTTTATGGAACGAGGGTAAAATAAAGCCTGTGGTGGACTCGACATGGGCTTTGGAAGACGTTCCGGAAGCTATGCAAAAGATGCACGACCGTAAGAACATAGGTAAAATTGTATTGGATCCGAGCCTCGAGCCAAAACCGAAGCCAGCAACTCCTGCTAAAGGAAAGACGAAAGATAAGAAGGCGGCTAGCCAAGAAAGTCAAGAGAAAAAAGCTTCGAGCGTCGAATCTGAGGAAGGAGAGAAGAAGAAAGAGCCAGAATTGACAAATGGAACTTCCGAAGACAAATCCGATAGCGGTAAATAAAAATGGAAAATTCTTTATTGTTTCTGGGAAAAATTATTGCGCTTGTTGTTATTTTATGTTCTCTTAATTGACCGAATCTTTTCTTTTTTTGCTTTTTCAGATTCGAAAGAAAAAGAATCGAGTTGAATTAACGGCGCTAATTAATTCTAATATACGTATATACATAAAAATACATATATATTAAAAAGAATGTAAAACCGTGAAGATCAAGAATTTTGCAGATAAGTAACTCTATTATTTCTCATTATACAGAGATCTACATTTATTGCGCTACACAACACTTGATTATTATGTACTAATGTTCGCAAATTATCGTGTAGATAACGAATTAATTTGGAAAACGAAGACAAAAAATTACACGAAACAGCAAGACACAGAACACAAAAATTAAGAATTTCAAAATATTTAGCTCAATTTGACCAAAAAAGAGAAGAAAAAGACTCGTTTTTCAAAGTTCATTTGCATGCCTCTCTCTCTCTTTCTCTCTCTCTCTCTCTCTCTCTCTCTCTCT